TTTGTGGAATGATGGTCATTATGTGATATTGCAGCCAGCTATTATTCCTGCTCCGGCTTTAATAAATGCCCGGCAGATTTAATAAAACTGATCCAGATTTAAAGTGTCCCTCCGGTGATAAATCACCTGGTAAAAATTTCCCAGCCCACTCTTGCTCTGGGATTTCTGCTCAGATCAATTCATGAAGTGAAATAACTCTGCCTGATGAAAATCAAGCTGTTTCCACCGAGTTTGTGCTTAGCTGCCGAACAAAGGAGTTCCCCAATCGAAATAATTACGGCTAATGATTAATGCAATTAAAAAAGTCCAAAAATATTGCAAACAGTTTTAACCAGCAGGTGTTAAAAATCATTGAAATGAATGCTGCAAATCCCCGGGATTTGGGAATTAGCTCAGTCAGGTGTTTCAGCGCTTTGGGGAGAAGCAGCTCAGGGCTCGGGCCCGGCCTTTGCCGACGGAGGCGCTTCCTGCTCGGGGAGGAAACAACCCCTAAAACAAACTCATTTTTGGAGCTTCTCCCCCCTGGGCAAACATCTCGAGTCGTCCTTCCCAAGGGGGACACGGAGGGAGCCCCCCGCACACGGCATTAACCCTTTGTGTGCCAGCCTGTCCCCCAGGCCGGCCCTTTGTCCGGCCCTGCCCGCTGTATAATGACCAGACTGTTTCATTAGGAGCACAATTCCCTCACCAGAGCCAGCCCAAACAAGTCCTTGGAGCGTTTGTGAGCAGAATGGCACCGGGGGGGAGGCAGGGCTGAGTGGCACACAATGGGCACCGCCACAAGTGGCCGGGCCGGCCGGCCGCGCATGCAGAGCGAGGATTAGGGGGTCCCACTCCGGGTCAAGTGTCTCGAGGGGAGCTGATAAACACCCCAAACCTGACAACAGCTTTTCCTTTCTTCCTGCCCCACTTGTTAAGTGCCAGAGCAAATCTCCTGAATGGCGCTGGAGTTTACTTAGGGGCCTTTTCTCGCAGAAGACGCTCTCTCCATTTTCTGAAGGCCGTTTCAGGCGCTCTCCGGAATAAATTTGCTCAAAAACCGCCCCCCTGCCCTCCCCCTCAGCCTCTTTCCTGCAGCCTTTGTCTCAAGGTGTGTGAACAAGGGGGAAAAATCTGGGCTGAGAAAAGCAAGATCGAGTTCCCCCACGGATTAAGTCGAGCACTTTGAAGGTTGGCTGAATGACTGACTTTTCATCTTTCAAAAAAAGGTGCTTTTGGAAAAAAAAAAAGAAGAAGAAGAAGAAGAATTTGTTGGGTTTTTTTCCCTTGGTTCTACTTTCAAATAAATATAATAAATATCTTATTTTCTGGTATTTTCACCTGCAGTGCCAATTGCTGGGCTGGGGTCCTGGTGGAGGAGTCTCTGAGGGAGGGATTCACTGACAGAAAGTACCTAAAGCACCTTCGTGCTCCACTGATGATCCCAGCTCTCACTGGGGACAAGTGGAAGGGCACAAAATGGATCCAAAATACCAAAAATCCAAGCCAATGTGTTACAGGAAGGTCTCTGCAGCCCAGGGCTTTGGGGATGCTGGGGAAATCTGCAGCTTTCCTGCTCTGCTGGGCACTGGAGAGTCGGGAATGTCGCTGGAACGAGCTGATCCTTCCAAGCCAGGCCATCCTGTGGTTCCATGGTTACTTACCCGGGGGTGAGAGGGCTGGGGACAGCAGGTGACAGCAGCAGGTGACAGCAGCAGGTGGCAGCAGCCTCCACCCTGCACTCCTTTGGTCCCTTTGCCCTCCCAGAGCCCCCGGCTGGGATGGTCCCAGGCTCTGGGAACCAGCCATGGGTTACTCCCAGGTTTAGGTGCCGGTCCCACTGTGGGGCACATGGAGAGATTGGTTGTGGGGAAGCTCCTGATGGGAGCAGAGGTCCCAGAGCACCCACACAGATCCCACCTCCCTGCTCTGCTGCCAGGGGCTCTGGCCTGGAGTCCTGAGCTGCTCTTTATCTTCATCCCCTCATTCCCATGGCTGGCAGCTTTTCCATGTCATTGTCCTGGTGCTGCTGCCTGCAGAGACCCCGGGGCTGGGAATGGAGCTGGGATCCTGTGGGAGCTCCAGGGGAGCCCAAACCTCCCCATGCTGCTCCCTCACACACCCTCGAGAGGGACCTGCCTTTGGTCTTTCTGTTTGCAGATGAAAAAAGAGACACAGAAGACACAGACACCTCCCAAACCGGGGCAGAGACCGGCAGAACACACTGTCCCTGGGTGAGGGGACATGGCACTCAGGGCTCTGGGCTGGGGACAAGGTGGGCATCGGGCACAGCTGGGACTCCCTGGGCTGGGAGAGCTTTTCCAGAGATCCAGGGATTGTGTGGATGTGCTCTGGTGCTGTTGCTCCACATCCACTGGGGATCCTGCAGTGCCAGAGCTGGGGGTGCTGGATCTGCTCCCCTGGAACTGCCCCGGCACTTCCCCTCGTGCCTCCTGCAGCTCCTGCAGAGCTCCTTCACCCCAGGATCTCGGTCCTTGGAATGTTCCCAGATCCAACTCCCTGTGTGTGCTTCTCCTGCTCAGCAGCTTCCTTTCAAGATTATGTGATTCCAGAAGGGTTTGGGTTGGGAGAGACCCCAAATCCCACCCAGTGCCCCCCTGCCATGGCAGGGACACCTCCCACTGTCCCAGCTGCTCCCAATGTCCAGCCTGGCCTTGGGCACTGCCAGGGATCCAGGGGCAGCTCCAGCTGCTCTGGCAATTCCATCCCAGCCCCTGGATCCCTGGCAGTGTCCCAGGCCAGGCTGGACACTGGGGCTGGGAGCAGCTGGGACAGGGGGTGCCATGACCCCCCCTGTCCTGTGGATTTCACCCACTGCCTCTCCCTGAGGTCTGGGGTGGCTCTGGGGCTGCAGGATCAGCAGTGACAGATGGGACCAGGGTGCCAGGGCAGGTCTAACACTGCTGCTCTGAGGATCCATTCACAGCCAGAACTAAGGACGAGGCTGGGACTTGCTCTTTTCAGTGTACCCAGGGACAAAGGGAAGTGGGACCCCCAGTGTGCAGTGGTTGCACAGGGCCTGCTGCATAACCCACAGCTTTATCACAAGTTTCCAGACTGAGGTGCAGCTTCCTCTCCTTGTTATTGAATTAATTGTTCTCCCAAGGAGGGGATTATGAGCAGGTTGGTCTCACTCTGATTCCTCAAATAGTAAATCCTGTGAGGAGCAGCTGAGGGAGCTGGGAAGGGTGTGGAGCCCCAGGAGGGGCTGAGGGAGCTGGGAAAGGGGCTGAGCCTGGAGCAAAGGAGGCTCAGGGGGCCCTTGTGGCTCTGCACAAGTCCCTGGCAGGAGGGGACAGCCGGGGGGGTCGGGCTCTGCTGCCAGGGAACAGGGACAGGAGGAGAGCTCAGGCCTCAAGCTGGGCCAGGGGAGGCTCAGGGTGGGCAGCAGCAGGAATTTGCCCATGGAAAGGGAGCTCAGGCCTTGGCAGGGGCTGCCCAGGGAGCTTTGCAGTGCCCATCCCTGCAGGTGCCCAAGGAAGGGCTGGACGTGGCACTCAGGGCTCTGGGCTGGGGACAAGGTGGGCATCGGGCACAGCTGGGACTCCCTGGGCTGCGAGGGCTTTTCCAGCCCCTGGGATCCAGGAATTCCTGTTTTGGTGCAAGATGCACCTCGGATCCAGCCCCCCTGAGCAGGAGCAGCCCCTTCTGCTCCCCAGCCCTGGGAGCTGCTCTGGGCTGGCTCCTGGAGCAGCCTCACCTTTCCCACTGCACCAAAGCAGAACCATCAGAGGAGCTCTGCCTTTGATGGGGAGTGTGAGCTGCACACAGGTCAGGGCTCATAATGAGATAAACTTTCACTTGAAACTAATTCTTGAGCTTATTATGCTGTAATAGCTTTGGGAAAATCACTTTCCACGGACATATTGCAGTCTCTGAGCTACAGCTAAGCCAAAGAGGTGATTTTCCTCTTTATTTCCAAATGCAGCAGCTTTAAAGGACGCTTTCATGGATTAGGAAAACATGTTTTGGGTAAATCGTGCTACCCACGTCGAGGCTGCAGGCAATTAAATCCTGCCATTGAAATTACCAATTATTAGATTATATATGGATTTTTTAAAGCAGCGAGCTCGGTTCTTCTCGTGTGACAAGGGGCTGCACGAAGAAAACAGCGGAATGTGCAAAGAATTGTTAAATAACTGATAAATAGGCTTAAGTTCTTTAAACCGGCAGCAGGAGTAGCTTAAGCAGTATGGTTTGGATCATCTAAATTTCCAAATACCTGGAGTATATTTGTAAACATGGCAATCTAACATTTTGCTGAGCAGCACATTCGCGTTCCAATTAGCATAAATGAGGATTTAACAGCTGATTGCACAGTGTGAATGATAGGGACTAATTGTCAGAGCGGGGGAGTTGGGAGATGATGGTCCCGATGGCCGGGCAGGGCTGGGGAATCCCGCATGGCTCGGGGGGATGCGGGAGGGTCCCGGTGCTTCTGCGCTGCTCCCGGGGCTGCGGCTGCTCCTGCTCCTGCTCCTGGGGCTGGGGCTGCTCCTGGGGCTGGGGCTGCTCCCGGGGCTGGGGCTGCTCCTGCTCCCGGGGCTGCGGCTGCTCCTGCTCCTGCTCCTGGGGCTGGGGCTGCTCCTGGNCAGGAGAGAAGGGGCCCCAGCCCTGCAGCCCCTGTCCTGGGCAGCCACACACCCCCGTGCCCAGGGTGCTCTTGCCCCCGCTCAGGGTGGCCCAGGAGGGCACAGCCCCTGTGTCCCCGAGCTGGCAGCTGCAGCCTGTGCCACCCATCCCCTCGGGGGCTCGAGTCATGGAGCGCAGCCTCACGGGCACAGCTCCAGGAAAATGGGATAACAATGAGCTGTCCCGAGGGGAAAGTGACAGTGACCAGGTGCTGTCCCCAGTGACAGAGGACATTGAGCTCTCTCCAGGGGACAGCAGGAGTGACCTGGAACTGTCCCCAGTGGAAGATGACAGTGAGCTCTCTCCAGTGGACAGCACAAGTAATGAGGAGCTGTCCCAAATAGAAGAGGCCACTGAGCTCTCTCCAGGGGACAGCAACAGTGAACCTGGAGCTGTCCTCAATGGAAGAGGCCATCGAGGTGATTCCAGGGGACAGCATGAGTGACCAGGAGCTGTCCCCAGTTGGAAAGGATATTGAGGACATTGCAGAGGACAGCATGAGTGACCTGGGGCTGTCCCAAGTGTCAGAGGACATCGATGTCTTTCGAGGGGACAGCATGAGTGGTCAGGAGCGGTCTCCAGCGGAAGAAAGCACTGAGGTAATTTCAGGGGACAGCCCAACTGATGAGGAGCTGTCCCCAGTGCCAGAGGACATTGAGAGCAGTGCAGGGGACAGAGAGAGTGACAAGGAGCTGTCACAAACAGAGAGTGACAAAGAGCTGTCCCAAGGGCAGAGCAACGAGGGTGAGAAGGTTTCCCCAGAAGAGGTCAAAGATTATTCCCAGCTGTGCTCTGGGGAAGACTGTGGTGTCCAGGGCATGTCCCAATGGGAAGAAGCTGAGGATGAAGATCTCTCCCATTGGGAAGAAGATGAGGATGAAGAGCTCTTTCACTGGGAAGAAGATGAGGATGAAGAGCTCTTTCACTGGGAAGAAGATGAGGATGGAGAGCTCTCCCATTGGGAAGAAGATGAGGATGGAGAGCTCTCCCATTGGGAAGAAGATGAGGATGAAGAGCTCTCCCATTGGGAAGAAGATGAGGATGAAGAGCTCTCCCATTGGGAAGAAGATGAGGATGAAGAGATACCAAGGATGGCCCTGCTTGGTGGAATGGAGAGAGGTCTGGGCTCATCACGTGAACTGCCAGGAATGGAGGAAATGTCGTGGCATCAGAAGGTGCAGGAATGGCTGGATGCCTATTTCCCCAATGATTATGGAATCGAGGAGGAGGAGGAGGAATGCTGTCGACCCACAGAGGAAGAGTACGAGGATGACGGATACGAAGGACTGTCCTCCAAACTGTGGAAACGGTGGAAGGAGAATGTGGAGGCCCGGTTGGAAGAGGTGTTGTGCTCCATGTCATTCCTCGGTTTCATAGTCGGTGACCTTCTGCTTTCTAGAAGGAAGCGCTGCAGAGACCGAAAGATGTCCCGAGGGGAAGATGGCACCCGGGCCAAGGTGTGGAATAACCACGTGGGCCTGGTGGATGATGAGGATCCCCTGGAGGGACCCAGCTCCAGGCATGTGGGTGCAGGGCCGGCAGCAGAGGCAGCCCGTGCCCTGCCCGAGCTGGCAGCTGCTAAGGAGAAGCCCCGGCAGCCTCTCGGTGCAGAGGAGCCAGAGGCACAGAGCCGGGTCTCCGAGAAACGTCCCTCCCGCTTCAGGCGGGCGCTGCGGGCGCTGCGGGCGCTGTTCCTCTGCTCCTGCCTGAGGCCACAGCCGGAGGAGTAAAACAGGGCACCGAGAGCAGGGATTGCTCCCACAGCCTCTCTCCCGGCAGGACTGCGGCTCACACGGGGTGGCCAACACCAACGGGAGCGGACACCCGGGAACAGGATGAGGAGCACAAAGGAGGCGGTGACCATGGAGAAGAGGAAGAAGATGATGAAGAAGGGGAAGGAAATGAAGATGAAGAGGGCGACCAAGATGAAGAAGGCCAAGAAGATGAAGACGAAGAAGATGAGGATGCTAAAGATGAATAAGACAAAGAAGATGAAGAAGACTGAGATGATGTAGAAGACGAATAAGGCGAAGAAGAAGATGAAGAAGATGAAGAAGCAGGAGAAGGAGAAGAAGAAGAGGACGAGGAGGAGGAATACTTTGAAGATACATAGGAGAAAAAGAATAGTCATAAGAATTTTAAAAATACCTAGAAGTAGAGGAAGAAGAGAAATAAGAATAAGGATAGGAATAGGAGTAAGAATAAGAATTTCACAATGTAGAAGTAGAAGATTAATAGGAATAGGAATTTGAATTTTGAAATGCATAGATGAAGAAGATTAAGAAAAGTAAGAATTTGAAGTTTAAAATACATAGAAGAAAAGGAAAAGAAGAGTAGTAAGAAGAAGGTGTATAGAAGAAGAAGAAGAAGAAGTAGGAGAAGAAGAAGAAGTAGTTTAGAATCCATAAATGAAGA